TGACACGCACACACCAGACCTTGATTACGCCTGAATACATTTTAGGAAACCTGCTGCTGTCTGCGGAGGTTTAATGGCTTCAAGCAAATATTATCAAATGCTAAAACTTTATGTAAAAGTTCCCTTTTTACAAACTATGGTCCCAGAGAAATTTGGGATGTGCTTATAAATATGGCTCACGGAAAACAGCCGAGCAGCTGGGCTTTGTCATCTGTTAGTGGGATACTGCGATTCCCCATGTTTTAGTTTTTAAAGTGTGTTATTCTTATGGGCGTATGATTCGGAGTCCCTGAACCTGCATTGATGTTGACAGTGCGTGAGACTACTCAAGCACCCCGAAGGCCCAGGCCACCAAGTGCTTGCGACTAACCAGCTGATCGCAGGTGGCCAACTACATTAAATTGGACAAGTATAACACTTTTGGAGGTATCCAAGAGCAATCCTAGTCTCAGGGGTCACTCGAGACCAACACTTAAACAATAAGTTTTTCTCGCTTGTTAACGGAACCTAGAAGTAGGGTGAAACACAAAACTTCCAAAGATGAAGATCTTATGTAATTTTATGTAGTGAATAATACCATACGAGACGAAAAACAATCTTGTACTAACTTCATTGACAGGCGACCTAGTAGGTCGAGTTTAACGGTACACGTCTCTACCATGGTGGCATTTTCTGAGCATGGTGAGTTTTGAGAAGATGGCTTTGAGTAGAAACTCACAGACCAACGGTGGTAGAGAAAATAAAGCCGACGAAAAATGACTTGTTTCAGTGGTGCCAGGCACGGTACTATCCCTATTAAAGACACCAGCCCGTACGGGTACATGTTGTGGTATGCGGTCCTCCCAGTTTGATTGACTAACATGTAAGTATTGGTGATGCATAACCCTGCTCACTGGGCTTCGGTCCATGGGCTATCTTTTTGTTTTCCACCAACAGGAAATGTCGTGAACCCGTGCATTCGGAGAATCACTATCCCCTGGTGCTTCCACAATATACATATTATGTATTCTGCTACACTGCCAAGATGGTTACCACTCATTGGTGGCCCCAATACAAAGTCCTGGCTCTGCACAGGTGTGTACAGGCCACAGAACAAACGCGTTGCCCAATCGCACACGACCGACACAGTTCAGCCACAGCAACCTTTGAACACGCTTACCAGGCTCACGCATCGAACTACTAGAACCGCCTGGTCCATGTGGGCCAGGGGACGGTGATCTTCAAAAAGGTGGCCAGTGTAGTATGCGGTGCCTGCCAGTTTGTTCGAATGATACGTAAGTATTGGTGGTGCATTCCCTTGATTATTGGGCACCGCATCGTGAGACTTCTCTCTGTTTTTCACCCAAAGAAATTGCCGCGAACTCCTACATTCGGAAGATCACTGTTCTCTGGTGCCAGTTTGCTCGAGCGATCGAATTATCTGGAACATTGATAAATTTCGCCATTTATTAAAAGCTGGCCTGTGTAGCCGCATATGATCGCATGCTCAAGCAATGGTATTCGGGCAGGAAAAACTGACGGCAGTTGCGTAACCGCTGTCACCCTTGGCAATCAACGGAACACACACGTAGCGTTTCTTCGGCGGAGGACTGCAAACCTATTTTTACCGTGTTCCGAATCTCTAGCAGGCCTAGAAGCAAAGCTTCTCGCCAAGACTATTTGTGCGCACGGGACGCCCCTGAAAGTTAACAGCGTAGAGGTCTGATTAAATCGCTTGAATGCCCGGCAGTAAGCCATTGTATATGCCCGCTTGCAAACCGAGGTGTTCAACAGGTCACTGAAGGCAGGCTTGAATGTTAAAATCCAATCCTCCGTCAGTATAAGTGGAAAAGGCATCGCACTACCAAACATTTAAGGAAAGTGCAAGTGGCAGTTTCTGACGAAGAATTTGGGTAAAAAGATTACCTCAGGCCACTACAAGAAATGGCAAATTGCAGCCCTGGGTAGAGGTAAGTCTCCTTCTTTGTCCACAAGTGCATGGGGGAAACATATGTGGAAAAAATGCCAACAAGATTTCCAGTATACCTTTGCCCCACACAACATTAACGTTGCAAGCATGTCCGAGCCAAATCGCGGACGCCATTGTCTACCCTGAGCCTAAAAATACCAAGTTGCTCGCCTGAAAAAGGTGCGTGAGATCGGAAGTGACAGGCTGTACAGGTCATCGGACACCAAGCAGCAATATGTCAACGGAATTGCAGTGCGGCTTGCGTCCTGAGACAGACCTCAAATAGTCCCGAGTATAAGACCACCGTAAGATTGCAAAGCATCGGCCCCGAGCGGGGATAAGACAGCAGCAAAGTTCATTTGCCAAAAATTTTAAATACACCTAAAAGACTTTTGTTCGGAGTAGTTTCATATAGTCCATATTTTGTAATCTGAAAGCCTAAACGGGTTACTTTGTGGTCCAGGAACCTGAGTGACTAGATTACCCGTCTTTGATTTTTGTCAGGGCTAGTCAGGCCATGTTGACCGAAGGGCCAAACTACTAACACAGACAAGATCCAAGTTCAGCCATAAAATCGCTGACCACCAGAAAGTCGTACGTGCGTAATCACAATCACCTTCGTGGGAGACTTCATGGAAAGGCCACCAGAAAGTGTAAACAGCGGTATCTAGACCGAATGAAATACACGGAACTTCACTTGGATCAGGCGGCATGGTCACAATCACTTGGAAACGCCTGATTCAGCAACCGGAGTATGCTGAATAGCACGCACAAGATTATTCTTGTACACCACTCCGAGGCCTCCAGTGACTCGTGTGGATTACCTATCGGATTCAGTCATTTTCAACTGAGAATTCGCTCCGTAAGGGAAACCAGCCTATGCTGAAAATTTTTGTTCCCAACATGAAGGTCTGTTTGGGGTCTGTACATTTGATGACGCGTACCAGTCTCTTGTTTCCGCAGATTGGGCATATCTTTAAACAGATCGACGACGTCAGAAGGAAGGTACTGATTGACGGAACAAACGGTTCTATCCTGTAATCTTAACACGCTAAAACGCGTTATATCTGCATAACCAAATATTGCACCTTCGAGCTGAAAAACAGCCAATAATCCCTTCTTGAAAAGCTCAGCTAATTAGATACTGGATTCGAGGAACGATTCCAACAGCCTGTTTTCACAAAGAAACGAGAAGAAATCAGAATAACTGAACCAGAACCGGGGTCAACAATCTGCATAAGTTAAGCCTAAACTTTTGTCACATCTATACCTATCAATCTCTGATGTATCGAGCAGATGAAAAACTTAGTTTGTCGAGGGAAAGGCTACTCATCATCGAAATATGAGTTGTACTGCCACACATTTGTGACTCACATATCAAAACAAAGCACTGAAGGTATCCGGCGAAAGAAACTAAAAGACGGTGCGTGGGACGATCAAAACTAAGCTAACAATATATAACCATATAAGTCTGTCACAGACTGGCCGGAACTTCGATTTTGAAGGAAAGCGCGTAGGTTAGGCATACTGCTACAGACTTCGAAAAATTCCATCCAAGTGAGCCAACAACATTAGCCTCTGTAACATGCAAACGGAAACTTCGAGGCCCGTTATGGTATGCTGAAAAGTGTTTTTTTGTGGAAGCTTACGAAAGGTTCCTCACATGCGTATTGCGGTGCCTTAGGTTTGAAGGTTGCACTTATATCGTCCACAAAGGGTGGGCACACCAGGGTATTTTGAGGTGGCCAAACGTCCCCAGAAAATGAAATTTGTGCGCTTGTATAATGGGCCAGGTGAACGCCAACCTTACATGCTAGTGTACTGTCGTTGGTAGTCGAGGTACGGTCTACGGATACCATTGTCCTTGGTGCCATTTTTGAGGAAGCGTGAATGTACTATGTACATGTGTACATGTGTATGTACATGCATATTCATGTATATAAACATGTGCACGCACTTTGATATGCACGCCATTTGTCCTAATTTCGGTCTGTTCAGCACACAGTTGGTGGGAAACATACACTCATTTCCCTTAAAAACCCATAAGGATTTCAGTTCACACGCGGTAACTGACGGCCCAAGACTAAGAAACTTTGGCTTTCGCTTTGCGTGTATTCCCATTATACATGCAGTAGGTATTGTTGTTCATCCAGATAGGCCAGACGAGGCTTTGGTACTTCCGGACAATGTTCTGTTGAACCGTACTTGATAAGCACGGTTTATTTAGGCTTTGGGCCGAATGATTGTTCGGCTGTTGGTCCTGGTGGAGGACGTGATTAACCCGGTCAACTATATGTGAGAAAACTCAACAAACTAGTTTAACAGCGTCAGCGGTGAGTCGGGAATAGATGGCTGTGATAATTTCTTTCACTGAAACCGTAATAGACTGGAACCAGGATGGGCTAGTCCCGTAAACCAACCCTCTGTTACTTTGGATATGTTCGACAGTAGCACTACTAGGTTGTTAAACCATTGACATGGTTCTCATCCACCCACGCAAATTAGGAAAACTACATCCTACCCGCGGCCTTTGGGAAATTCCGCTAATGTACGTGAACGATTGCAAAGTGGTGCCAATCGTTCCGTGAACACAGCGGAATATCCTACCATAGGAGGAATACGGTATACACATAGAAATGTGTCTGTTGCAGTTTCATTATTTTTTTTCGAGTGTAGCTTGTGACGAATTCCAGCAGGGTATCTGAGTTGACCAACTGCACGTTCTTAGTGGGTTACAAGAAATTCAGCGTACTTGAGTCTGTTGTGGTTGAACCCTCCGGCTCCAGCAGACTAGTGATAACTGCCTGAGTTTTTGCTAGTGCAGCTGTGTCCGTAAAACAACTTGGGGCGAGTGTAAGTTATGTGAACAGAAGCAACGCATAATCTGTGTATCCATCGGTAATTCCCGAGAACACTTGGCAGCGCCATTGAAGGAAACTAACTAACCTCAGAAAATTATTTGCCCTCGGATTATCCTTTGCACCGACGGTCGGAACCTGCCATTGCATGCAACCACCGTCATATAGTTTCCTCTTCGTGTTTTTTCATTCAGTGTCTTACAGCAGAGAACAGAAAATAATGGTCCGGTTGGCTGTGGAATAGGTTGGTAGAAATCAGCGTTGGTGAGATTTGGGCGCCGACGCCAAGGAAGAATCAAAGTGGCCAGTTCATAGCAGGAGCCGAGTTGCTGAGGGAGAGAGACACACTACACCTAGAAATATGGTTGCTGCGTTGAAGTCCCGAATACAGACTTATGGTGGCTAAGTCAGGACAGTGTTTTCCGGTAAGTCGAGAAGCGCATAGGTAGGACAGACCGATCGGTGGACCACCACGCCACTTCCTCCACTGTTATTGCGAACGTTGAGGAGCAGTATCTAACGAAGAATAAGGATTTTATCACCAATATTCAGGTGTGACCACGTCTCAATAAAAGGAACGATATGTAGGTAAACGCTGATGGCTCTTGTGGACAGTTCTTCTGCCTTATCCCTCAGTGATAAAGCATCGGTGCAAGTGTACACATGGCGGCCTCTATTTGACATGAGAAATGTGGCGGACTATTGTGGAAAGTTTCCGCTTTATGCCGAACCTTCCTGGGTCAGCCGTTGAACATATTTTGGTGGTTCATGAATTAGGGGATTATTGCGCCAGGGTACACGAGGTGTAAAGCTCGGACAGTTAAGTCTGTAATCGACCTTCAAGTGGCTTTCTCGGATACGGCAATATTTCGCACAGAATTCCACGCTAGAAAACTCCCGCTTGTGTAATCTGGCGTATTTTTTGGGTCGTGAAAGTTACCCTGGGTAGTCTCGGATGTGGAATTCCGTTGAGGTAAGACTACCTTGATAGACTGTGTAATAGCTACGTCCCATATTCCTTTATTGAGAGTAGCGGCCGACCTTAAGTGAAAAACTTTTGGGCGTCATGCTACAAAGCTGCGGCTGGATAAGTCGTCGTGAGCCTTGAGATACGATGGACTGGGACGAGGCATCGCTCTGCGTTTTACACATTTTAGTCTAGCTTTGCTACATGTACAGCCTTCGTAGCCGTTCAAGTATTTCGGGCTGGGTACCAATTTCGGAGTTGAATGTGTGAAGGCGCAATCGAGCTAATAACATGGTGGTGACGTCCTTAGCACAATCTGGCGTGATCCTAAGGGACGTTATGCAATTACTGCTAACGACCATAAATATAAGAATGCGACGGAGTCGGGAAAAGAAAGGGTGTAACTGCGGAAGCTGTCATCGCATTTTAGGCAAGCGATAGGTAAACATCTTCATTGACGCCAAAGAGCACAAACCTCCTCCCACTGTACTAAGGAAATATTTTGCTACACGGTGACAACTGAATGGCTTTGTTGTAAAGCGCCCTGACAGCGACAGTGAGTTGACGATCGACCAATGCTCACGTCTAAGCGGCGTCAGTGTGGGTATACGGTTAGTTGGCATACTTATTTTTGTTCGACGGGACTATGTGTTGCAGTGGCTGTGACGAAGATGGGGGTGAATAAGGCCGTGCTAATTGCATAAGCAGAACACCGTCTAGTGCCTTGCGCGCACAACCGCAGTCCTCCAGGTTAGACGGGGCCCCAACTAGGGTGTAATCAGGCTCCGAGCATTCGTCCCAAAGCTGTTCCTTGCTGGGGGTGCTGACAGATTACAAATGTTGAGTCCGACGCTTGGGCAAGTAACATGTGCGCGCTTGCCCTAAGTCGGTTAGGCGCATGGTAGTTCTCGAATGTCAGCCTGTTATCCAATTCCATTGATGGAGGGGACAACAGTACACTCCATTAAATCATGTTCTGAATTAAAAAAAGCGCTCAGCTGTAACACTCTTCCGGTGCCTAACTGCCATGCCACCCGAAGGAAGCCTAAACAGGGGAAGTCGAATGGCGGAGGTCGGATTCGAACCACGGACCTTCCGGTCAGTAAATTCGCGCTCTAACCACTTGGGCCATCTCGCCCCCGCATGTTCTGAATAAGCCATAACTATCTACGATATATATTTTTTATAAACGTGATGGAAATCCGTCTGCAGTCGCACAGTCAAAATTGACCGTGTGGTTGAGATATAGTGGTTTTGCTGTCTGCTGACACACCTAGTCTATCCTACCTTGACTCAAAAGCGTACAAGTTAAATTTGAGAATCAGACATTTGCATAGTTGCAAAGCAAGTGACAGTGGAGCGAAAGGAAAGCAACAGGATTAGCACATGTCACTAGTAAAGAGGTACACGTTATGGGACAGGTAAAACGCTGAATGACTGATACCAAGCTTGTCCACCCTCTGTGGGACTGAAGACAAAAGCGGCATGTATAATGTTTGTCTTCATTCCACTTGCTTTCCTTGGTAAGTGGACAATCGAAATTCGTTTCGCCAGCATAAGGTTGATGAACAGCGTAAGAAAGAAAGAGTAACAGTTAAATCAAAGAATTCGGATGGACAAGACATCTGGCGTCACAAAAGTGTGCAACAACAGAATTAATGAGAATAACGGCATTGGTACCGACAACGGTCAAAACGGTCAACACCAAAAAGGAGGTAATGGCGAAGAAGTGACAATCACACACTGTTCATGATGAGAGCGTGAATCCATCAGTCAAGTAAACATACGCAAAGATCACAGCACAATTTCGTACGGCTCAGCACGAAGCAAGTCCAGGAAACGCACGCGCCAACAAAAAGCTTCGAGCACTGTCGAGTCGCGATTCCATGGCAATCAGTGGCAACAGAGAGTCAATTCCGACCGATTCCAGCATTTCGAACAGCGAACAACCCAGTCTCCACTGCAGCAGACTGAACAGTCGGATTCGAGGAAACTCCACGAGTGAACTCCTCTCGTGCTTTTCCAAAACTGGCTCCAGTGTTACGATAGATGCGGTGCACCTGAAAGAGAGGGTGGAAAGAGTACACAGGCAGGATTCTCAAGATCTTTTATAATTGCCTGAAAATCATAGCATTTCGCTGACTGCTTGTGGTGGACATCAATAGAACACATTTTAGGCAATCGCAAATTTCACTACGAGCCGACTGTTAAGTAAAACAAACCATAAAATGGGGAATCCCGAAGTTCAGCGATGTAATACAACTGCAGTGAAAATCAGTAGATATCCGTGATCGATGAAACACCATTCCCACCGGTATGTTCGCGAGTATTGAGATTCTTTTGCACACAGTTCACTGGAATGCAAACCTTGACTGGCTCATTTGTTCGACAAACCATTTTGGGCTGGTGGAAGACCAATACAATCAATTTCAGTTAATTTGAGCAGTGTTTTAATTGTTTACATACAACATCAACGGTCAGGCCTGATTAACTTGGTAGGGGTTGCAGCGTATTTCTTAAATTCACTGCAGGAATATATTTGTAATCACGTGAAACTATGAAAACAAACAAGGGTCAATCCCGAAGTAAGGAGGCTATCTGTAAAAACATCAAGTTATGACGGGAAAGATTATGGAAATAAACGGAAACGAAGTAAGGTATCCAGATGCCCCTAAGTTTGTGATTCAATGAGAGAAAAGCAGGAGGAAGTAAAGAAAGCAAGTATTTTATTGCCCGCGCGTCCTGGTAAAGAATGAGCATGAGTGAAAGAGCGCCGCCCATAATGTTGCTGAAAACTTTTCGATGGAAACCTTATGAGCGGTGTTCTTCCAAGAAAATGCACTGCGATATCTCGAATATCGTAGGAACTGAAAGAAGAGGTGGTCTTTGTGCAGCAATCAGTTGAAGAATATCAGAAATGAAGTTCACTTCACATGACTATATTGACAAAATCCGAGCTTTTGGTGATTCGTGACGTATTACTATCTGCGCTACTGGGCTGGGTCAGCAATGCAATACATTGGTGATAACACTATGAGATCGGAGGCTCAGGATAAAGTATAAGGAACAAGCCGGTTTTAAAGTTCGGTACCGAAAAGGCCTGAGTTTCTGTTACGGTTCTGTCACGCAGCGAGCAAACAATATGATAATGCGGATTGTGGCAATACTCTACCCCCAGCTATGTTGATTGATCCAGACTCCTAGCACGGCGAATAGTAAGAAGACGAGAACCTTGGACACAAACTTTAATAATCCAACAACACACGATCAACAGGCGATGCCCGGAGCTTCCGAACCCAAGTCAGTGGAAAGAATGGTATCCTGTACGTGGTCGGATTTAAATTTCCTTGGAGTATCAATAGGCCATTGATTTTTCATAGTTTGACCTTGAAGATGCCAGGAGTTCGCTAGCACATAAAAACACAGCGTTTTCTGGGGGATACTGATATCCCCAACAGAAAGCTTTGACTTCAGGCAACAATCGCGCCCTATTTCAGCTGATTTGAGCAACCGGTCAAAAGAAGGCAAGTGTCAGTGAAACAGTATGCGAAAAACCAGAGTGGTAATTCACTGCCTCAATCGTCGTCTTGAACGATGGGCTGAGCACCTCAAAGAACAGTTCAGCTGTTCTCCTTGTATACAACCCGGCGGGCCCGAATGGAACCTACCATTAAAAACAGAAATCCAGTGTGAGATATCAATCCTCAAGCACTGCAAGTCATCTGGACCCGCACTCATTAATGGGGGTGGTGAGGTTCTGGTGAACAGTTTATTATCCATAATGCAGGTGGTTTGGAACAAAAAACAGAATGCCAGCCGAATAAAGCTACCCCGCCGTCATCCCAGTTTTCAAACAGTGAGCAAAAATTTTAGGCATCAGCCTAGTATGCGTCCCTTTTGAGGTGTTTTTTGGCCCTATTTCGCGTAGGCCGATCGATTATCTGGAGAGACAGATTCGTGAAATTCCAGCTGGGTTTCGCTCTGGCCGAGAACGCATCGATCTGAAATCTGCTTTTGACACTGTCGATCGTGGTAAAATTTGGTGGTGTCTGGCATTCAAAGGTGCCCCATCCAAATTTCTAACCCTTGTTAGGTCACTGTATGCAAACTCCTGCAGGCACGTATGAGTATAAGGCAGACGTTCGCCTGAGTCACTCACCTTCAGTGGTGTCAGGCAAGACTGTCCTTTCTCATGTTTCCTCTTCAACTTTTTTATTGATGTGCTGCTTGCCTGCCTCTGAAACCTCAGGAGTCGAAACGCCACCGAGAAGTTCAACCAAAGGCATTGAATATGCGAACGATATTGCCCTCCGTGGTTTAGGTCCTTCAAAAATGCAGACCACTTCAAATAATTCAAATGAACTTGCTGCACGGTTTGGCATTCCTTTCAGGGCAGCAAAATGCAAAGTGCTTCTACAACACTGAGTTGTATCAAGCTCCGACGTCATGCTTTTAGACGAGACAATGGATGTGGTAGATAATTTTTTTTACCTGGGTACCTTTGTATGTTCAGGTGCACTAGCTGAAGATTAGATTATTCCTCGAATTGGAAGAGCCCGGGTAGATTTTGCCAACCTCCAACCCCTATGGCGCCGACGTGACGTGCTTTCGTCTGTCAAGGGCAGAGTTCACAATGCGGTCCATTATAGTAACGGATCAGAGACGTGGCCTCCGCACTCAGAGAATATGCGAAAGTTCTCAGTGTTTGACCATCGATCTCTCCGAAATATTGATCGTATGTGGTGGGAACATCGGATTATTAATGCTGAGGCACGCCAGATGGTTCTTGGTAGGAGGGACCCTCCCGTGAAAGATGAATTACTCACATTTCATAAGCTGCGCTGGTTACGGGATGTACTTTTCATGCCAGAAGTCCGTCTCTGTCGCAGATCTGTTTTCGCCTAGCTCTATACTGAGTGAAAGCGACCGAGTGCTAGACAGTATACGACTTGGCACCGAAGTATTAAAACTAACCAGTAAACATAGTCGGGTCGATAACTGTCTCCCCCCTGGATGGGTACTCAACTTGGTTAGTAACATTAGTAAAAAATCGCCAAAACGTGCAGTCATTGGCGCTCATGCATCAAAGCTATCGCCTTCAGTGCGTAACTACTCAGTTCCTGAACCAGCCAGATGTACCATCATCTCTAAGGCCTGGCTGTGTGTATCACACCCTCCCACCTTCCAATGATCGAAACTGTAGCAGCTAGAACCATTGTGCCTATGGCACGCGGTTTATAGCTGATAGTGTATATCAGGTCATACGAAGGCATTATATTCTGTATCTTGCGTAACTGTGGGTTATCAACACTGTTGATTGACCGTCTATTTCCGAATAACAGTACTGAACTTCTGTCCACATGTTTGCGGGTTCTAGCCTTCCAGCCAATATCGCAGGACACAAGGCTTCTAGGTCGCTTTGCGAAGGTTAACTTTCTCCACAGGACAAAATACATAGGCCTCCAGTGAAACCATTTATCGGTTTACAGTGACGTACTCGTGTGTAACAAAATGCATGCTAGAAAGCTAGCGATTTTCAGCAGACAACTTTCGATCATGTCGCATCGCACAACCCGCTTTTCGGGCATTTTTTGCGATCACCGCACATATGCTGTGCACTCTGATCGTAATTCCGCAACGCGTGGATTTGCTGTGTGACACGTGAATGCGTCATTCGATTGCGTTATTGAGTCGGATTCTCGGTGAATTTTGGCTGCGTTGTCTGTTCCACAGTTCTGAAAAGTACCCGTCTCCTATGTCATCCGAATGGGAATTAGAAAACATATTAACTGGTCACTTAAGATTGTCCAGCTAAGAAGAACAGGGGATGATTTCATCGTCCAATGTTCGTTATAAATACCTTTTCCTTTTACAATACACTCACAGGCATTCCGTAGTTTCATATGAAATCTCTTTTACCAAGATGTTGGAAATTCACCTTCTGATTCAGTTAGGCTTCCCGGGATAGAATATATTTTTGCCAGTAATGAGCGACATCAAACAATTTTCCAATAACTTCTAGAACCAACTAGGCCAGCTTGGTATGCGAAGAATCAAGCGCATCAGCTGTGGCGAAACTCATACAGCTAAAAGAACGTGTTTGAATTTCACGGAGCTTTAACCGTCATCATGTCGTACCGTCCCTATTTTGTCACTCCTTCGTTCAACACTGCCTGCAACACATGAAGCCCCTTACTACTTTCTCGTCTATCAGGCGAATATGGTTGTCAGCTTTCTCTTGGGTTCGTGATTTCCCTTAGGCGAAGGTTCCC